AAGGGAGAAAACAACGATTCAGCTGGGGGCATACTAGTAGCAGCTTTCCAGGGCTTATAATAAGAAGGTGAACCCGCAAGAGTTCCAAGTCGATAACCTCGTCCTGAGAAAGGTCGTTGGCAACAAAAAGGATCCTAGAGAGGGCAAGCTTGGCCCAAATTGGGAGGGACCCTATAGAATCATCTCAGTCTTGGGAATTGGGGCATATCGACTTGAAAACAGTGAAAGCAAAGAGTTGCCAAAACTCTGGAATACATGCAATCTGAAGTTTTTCTATCATTAGATTTTCTTGTTTTTTAAGTTTTCTTTTGTTTTGTTATTAGCCGAAGTAATAATAAAGTTTTAACTTGATTTTTTAACTTGTGTAGTATGATTGACAAGTCATTTGGCGATGTTTCTGATTGAAACATGATGAATAACTTTGACTTATTATATGACAGAGTTTCTACTTGCATATAATAGAGTTGAACTAAGTTGGCGATGTTTCTGATTGAAACATGACGAATAACTTAGACTTATTATATGGCAAAGTTTCTACTTGCATATAATAGAGTTGAACTAAGTTGGCGATGTTTCTAGTTGAAACATGATGAATAACTTAGACTTATTATGTGACAGAGTTTCTACTTGCATATAATAGAGTTGAACTAAGTTGACGATATTTCCGATTGAAACATAGCAAATAACTTAGACTTATTATATGGTAGAATTTTTACTTGCATATAATAGAGTTGAACTAAGTTGGCGATGTTTCCGATTGAAACATGACGAATAACTTAGACTTATTATATGGCAGAGTTTCTACTTGCATATAATAGAGTTGAACTAAGTTTGTGATGTTTCTGATTGAAACATTACGAACAACTTAGACTTATTATATGACAGAGTTTCTACTTGCATATAATAGAGTTGAACAGAGTTGAACTAAGTTGAATTAACTTATATCAGTTAGATTAACAGGGAGACCGAAGTTGATGACCTTGGCCATCCTCTATTTGAATCTGATCTCGGCGACAAGATCAATGCCACATACTTAATAAGAAACAAAGTGGAACTTAGGTTCACATTAGGGGGCAGAGGGTTGGAAAATGGTGCTTGGGAGTTGGAATTTACAAGCCAAGATTGGTTTGACACTTGTTGAAATTTTGAGAAGAATTTACGAGTTAAAGTTAAGCCGGGGTCATGTTGAAAGAAAAATTGGTTTAACACTTATTGAAATTTTGAGAGCAATTTACAAGTTGAAGTTAAGCCAAAGTTATTTCTACAGAAATATCTGCAAAATATTGCCGAGATTACCATATTACCAAGATTTGGAAAATAGTGGAAGACAGAAGCCTTGGTAAGCAAGAGTGAGTTGGCAAGTTGTAACACTTGTGAAAATATTATAAAAAATATTTTCAAGTGTTAGTTGAAAGCCGAGATAAAACTACTAGCAAGTATATCCAAGGTATTTTACCCCGAAAAAATTACACAGTTAAGGTGTACTTTGAAGAAACATGCAGAATATTTCAAGTATGGAAGCATACAAGATAGACAAGCATTCAAACACTCAGAAGAAATACAAAAAGAAATTTGAGAGTGCATTCAGATAAGGAAAGAAGGCACTTCGGCCTGACATTAAAGAGTAATTGTTCAGATTACAAAAGTGGTACGTCGGCCAGATTAAAACTTACATTGTTTCAAAAGTAGGAAAAAAAGTACAAGTTACAAGAAATAAAGAAAAACATCAAACTAGACTATTCGGTGTCATTGGTTGGTTGGGTTTGGGGCTCAAAGGACATCTGGGAACTCTTCTCGGCGGCCTTCTCAGCCGCGAGCTCGGCATCGATCTCTTTAAGAGTCTGGTCTAGGCTCTTCTCGGTGATAGGCGCCTCGGATGATGCCTTCTCGGCAAAAGCACCCTTTGAGAGCTTGTCCTCCTCATCATGAGTCAAGTCCAGGACTTGCTCATTTAGGGTTGGGTACTTGGTCCACGCAGCCTCGGCCTTCTCGTTCTTCTTGTCCTTAGCCTCCTCCTCGGACTCAGCTTCGTCCTCGGACTGCCTTGGAGTAGGTAGGAATAACAGGGCAAGGCTGCTAGCATTCCTGAGAGGGGAGTCCTCGGGGACAGCCAACGGCTTCAGAGCAGCCATCCAACCAAGAGTATAGCCCTTGTTGCATGCCTGTAATCTTTTTTGTAATCTTCTCTGACGTCGGCCGCCCTCTCGACATACGCCTTCTCATCTACCGCCTTGATCTCGGCCTCTTTTGTGGCCAGGGCATCTTGAAGCTTTTTTTTGGGCCTCGACCATCTTTGCCTCGGCCTCTTTCTTTTCGACCACAAGAACCTTGGCAATGGCCTCCACAGCATCAGCCTTTTCCTCGGCCTCGTCTTGAGCCTTCTTGGCTGTCTTGGCTTGATCTGTAAAGGCCTTCATTTTGCCCTCGGCCTTGCTGAGGGACTTAGACAAGTTGGCAGCCTCCCTGGTCTTGTTGGCCAACTCCTTCTTGATGGCAAAGGCTTGCATCGCGAAGGAGTGGCCATGCTGGATCGCCTAAGAGAGATGGAAAAAACACATGTTAGTAAAAACTTTGTAAGTATGAAATAGCAAAAAGTGAAAAGTATCAAGTGTTAAAGGCTTACTTGGACAGAGCATTGCAACATCAAAGCAAAATTCTCGTATTCATTCATCTCGGCGTTTCAATTGAGATTGTTGGAAAGGTGCAAGGTAATAGAGAGGGCCACGCCAACTTCAATGTCGTCGGCGTTGTCGCCAGCTTTGACCGGCTTGTCCTCAATTGTGATTGGGGGGCCCAGAGGGCATCTGATTTAAGAGACCCCGAAGTGGCCACAGAGGCTGACCTCAGCCTCTTTGACTTGGTGGATTCAGATGGTTCGGCCTCGGCGGGCCTCTTCTCGGCGGCGGAAGAGGCCTTCTCGCCCTTGGCCAGTTTTGAAATTGGCAAGGTGTCCTCAGTGTCAATTTGAGTCACAGTTGCCTTAGGTTGAGCTTTCTTCAGCCTCTTTGGTTTTGGTTTGCGTTGAGATTAGGAAGATGGAGATTGGACGGCAACAACGTTCGCGATGTCGGCCAGAAGATCATCAGCAACTGCCTTCTTGCGACCCATTTCGTCGAAGGAGATGACAATGGTAACTTTAGTACCAAGGCGAATTGCTGGTAGAGCTGTTGGTGGGTTGGCTGGATCATATGAGGACGCCTCGGCACTTCGACATCTTTGGCTTCGAGTCCTGCCTACTGGTGCGAATAATGGAGCTCGACGTCGGTGTTGGCATTGAGAAGGTGGGATTAGTTGTGGAGCAGAGGTTGATGGTTGTTCCATAGGACCAGATGTTGATCTTTGGTCAGGCCTTGATGATTCGGCTTGAGGAGTTGTTGCTGATGGAGGAGACTTGTTTTTTCTCTTTCTTGGGATGTCGAGAAGTACAGATTTATACGTCGGGATAAAGTTGAGCAGCAAAGGGGCTGTTCACTGGTCAACTGGCAGACTCAACAGCTTCTTAAAATCCTTACTAGGATAAAAGTTTTTGCGGAAGTCCTTTGGAGGTTGAGGAAGAACTGCAAAATAAAACATACAGACGTTAGAGCATACAAAAATGTCAAAGTAAAAAAGACTTGAGAAACAAGTAAAAGTAAACACTTGGCTCTTACCATCTCTCTCTCTGAACAATGTACTGCTTAAAGGGTAGAGGTGAAGGCCATCATCTGGAAGGAATTCCCAGTTGCCCGAGACGATGAAGTAATCGTCCCCGGCGCCCTTGTTGGAATCAGGGAGGTCAGCGATGAGTTTGTATTCCGTCGACCTTGGCTTAAGGTAGTAAATGTAGCATTTTTCTGACTTAAGGCCACACGTGGTGTAGTAGTACTGGATGTTGGCTAGAGTTATCCTAGCATTTTCTCGGCGTGCTAAGGCAATGATTAGTTGGACATTCAATTCTTGAGAACTTCTTTGGAGGACACCGTTGAAGTTAAAGCGACCATCGATTTCCTGCTTGATAAGGTAATGAAGATCAAGTCTAGAAATTATTCACATCCAATTTTGCTAGATCTACAGCCTCTTCTCTCGCTTCTCTGTTTCTCTCTCTTTCTCTTAAACCAATTCAGCGTGAGAGGAAAGAAAGAAGGAAGAAAGAAGAAGGAAAAAGAAAGAAAAAAAAAAAGAAGAAAAAGGTGTCAAAACGACGTCGGTTTGGCAGCTTGAGCCATTCGAGCCCCAGTTTATTCGAGCTACCTAGTAGGATTGTATTTGATTTGAACCTTTAATTAATGAGAGACTTACGTATAAGTCTTAATAGGTGAACTTATTATCTAATAGATTTTATGATAATTAATGATATTTGTTAATTTTCAACGATAATTTGAAAATTTTGTTACAAAAAATGTCACTAATTATAAGATTTAGCAGTAGTTTAAAAAAATAATCACAAAAAAATCACTAATTTTTAAATTTTAGTAACAATTTGAAAATTTTGTCATAGAAAAACGTCACTAATTATAAACTTTAGCGACAATTTATAAAAATCGTGATAAAAAAAGTCACTAATTGTTAAGTTTTAGTGACATATGCAAAAAATCGTCACCAAAAATTATTTTTATGTGCGATTTTATTAGAACTTATTTTTAATAAAATTTGATGAAAATTAAATCAAATTATTAAGATCTATTAATAATTTACCTTTAATTTAGTTAAGCTATACATATAAAATTATTACAAACGTCATCCAAGTTGTCATAACCTAGGAATCAAATTGAGTCTACCTCTAGATACATGCATCACCCTTGTCTTCTCGGGTGCTTTTTTAAATTAAATATTTCAATGCATTTATGCGTCTAAATAATGTTTGGGATATCTATTAAAAGATCTACTTTTATGATTGCGTATACGACATAAAGTCTAATAAATTATAATAATTGATTTATTATTCTTATTCATTTTTTTTTATCTCTATTTCCTTTTTCTTTTTTCATACATTACTATCCAGCCCCATTGACAGGTCCAATCGACTCGCAGGGAAAGTGGTCGGGACGGGAAACTCGTCGGTGTCGGGAGAGTCAATGGAAAAGTCATCGGCAGGCAACGCCAATGGACAAGTGGAGTATCTGGGCAAGTGAAAAGATTCAGATATTATGAATTTTAAATTGTTATAGATTTGAGAGTAATTATGTATTTTCAGTAAAATTTTCTAAGAACTCAATTTTATTTGTTTATTTTTTAGCATGGTCAAATTGAAACAATTACAAAACTAAGCCCGCCTCTCCTAGTCTCAAATCCCTGGTATTTAACTACGACTTTTCCCCCATTGTCTTGTGACAACTTGGATGACGCATATTTGCATTTTTTTTTTTTAATTTTCTGTAAATTTTTATATGCTCTTGAAGACATATATATATATATAGATATGCCCACACTCTCTTTCAATTCATATCAAAACGCTAACAATTCATATCTGAATTCAATCATATTCAACCCATTCTATTGCTAGAGAATTGGCCATGGCAAGTGTCAAGCTTATAGGAGTTTCAGCAAGCCCATTTGTGAACCGGGTTCAAATCGCTTTGAACCTAAAATCAATCAATTATGAGTTCTTACAAGAGACATTTGGTGCAAAAAGTGAGCTTCTTCTTAAATCAAACCCGGTTCACAAGAAAGTTCCGGTTTTTATCCACGATGACAAGCTTATATGTGAGTCTCTCAATATTGTTCAATACATTAATGAGTTATGGACATCTGGTCCTTCCATCCTTCCTTCTGATCCCTATGATCGTGCCATTGCTCGATTTTGGGGAGCCTACATTGATGATAAGGTACCTTTTTCTCATTTGTCGAGTTTCTTGACCCTATTTGGTTTTAAGTTTTCAAAAACAGTTTTTTTTGAATTTTAAGTTTGTATTTTTTTGATTTTTAATGATTTTTTAAATATTTTAATTAATTTTTTTAAATTTTTTTAGATACACTTAGGCCTCGTTTGGCAAGAGGCTATTTTAGCCAATTAGCCAAAAAGTTACTAAATTAGCCAAAAAGCCAACAACTCATACCAAAAAGTCAAAGATTCTCTTTTCTCTCTACTTTTTGCACATCTTTTCGTAATTAGCCAAAAAGTCATCCCAAACATACAAGTTTTTTTTACCTACCTTTTTAGCCAAATAGCTAAAAAGTTACTAAATTAGCCTGTTCCCAAACGAGGCCTTAATCTTAATATACTTAAAAAGTAATAAATTTGTACAAAAATGTTTTAAAAATTCATTGAATAAAACAAAATATGAAAATGTATTGAATTTTCACTGTTTTATTTATTTTTTTTATTTTTTTTGTATTTAGTGAATTTTTTAAAGTTATTTTTCACAAATATTGTGGATGTTTGGAAAGTTGCTATTTTAGTAGGTTATTTTAGTTTTTTTTACTATTTTAGAAGGCTAAAATTTTTGTATTTGGGAAGATTGTTGGATTTTTTTGTAGCCAGATGTGATGTTTCTGAGAGAAAAAATAAAGTGATTATAGATTTAACGTGGCATTTTGTCTTGTTGGTTATTTTAGCATATTTTGTCTTTTAGTACTATTTTAGCCAAAAAAGCTACTTCCCAAACACTCCCATTATATTTTTTAAGCATATTTAAATTATGTGTATCTAAAAAATTAAAAAAAAATCATAAAATATGAAAAAAATTCACTAAAAAAAAGTACAGAAAATAAAAAATTTAATTTTCTAGAACCAAGCATGATACGCATTTTATTTTTATTTTTATTTCGTGGTGAATTATGTAGTGAAATGAAATGGTAGAACAAAGGGTGTCAATGTATTATTAAAAAAAATATTCAAAGAATTTGCAAAAAATATGATATTAACATAAAATAATTACAATGTTATGGAATTACAAATAATTTATGAATTAGATTGTGTAACTAAGGTTTGTACTTTGATACTTTGCAATTATTGTGACTTTATACCATTTTTTTCCGATTCTCCCATTTTCCCAAAAATATATTTATGTACATACCAAGCATGTACATGTTTTTTTCTCGCAGTGTTTTCCATCATTAATGGAACTTCTAAAGGCAAAAGGAGAGGAAGAGAGATTGGCAGCAGTAGACAAACTGGCAGCAATGCTGGTGTTGTTAGAAGAGTACTTCATCAACTGCAGCAGTACTACAGGAAATGGTAATTTCTTCGGTGGCGACAGCATTGGGTACGTCGACATAGCACTCGGGTGCTTCTTGGGTTGGTTCAAGGCGTCGGAGAAGTTGTTCGATGTAAAGGTGCTAGACATAGCCAAGACGCCGCGTCTGGTGGAGTGGGCCGAGAGGTTTTACTCAGATGATGCAGTGAAGAATGTTATTCCAGAGACTGAAAAGCTGATGGAGTTTGCTAAAAGAAATCTGATGAAGTGAAAAATGCGCAGTAGTCTAATTGAAATGCCTTGAGTTGGGTTGGGTTACTTGGGAAGTCCATGAAGTGGGAAGTTTTCATTGTGAACATTTTTAATAATCTTGTTTTGTTTTTTTCCTTCTATTACAAGTAAAAATAAGTTTAGACGTGAAAAATATTTCGCGAAAATTATATTTGAAACTGTGGCGGTTGATTGGTCGACTGACCAATACAAGTTAAGGTTGACCATTTTGTTGGTATGTAGCATTATTATATAAATAAACTTGTGATGTTGCTTTAATAATGCCTGGCGAGCAAACAATTTTATTTGTTTGTTTTTTTTTTTTTTTTTTGGAGGGGGGAGGTGTGATTTTGAAGAAAACACCGAAGGGAAAAACGTAATAAGAAATTAGAAAAAGTTAAAGCTCTTCACATGTAGAAATAAACACATAAATTCGGATCTGGAATTCTACGCGATTGTGTGATTCATTAACGGTATTTTGTAATTTTTTTTTTTTTAAAAGTATACAGTTTTTGTTATTAGGTGAGCATATTGTCAATATTTTATTATGAGAAGATTGAATAATTGTGAGGCATGTTTTTATCGCATCTCTTTCCTTTCTGCTTTTTGTGATTCGATCATCTCTTAACATAAATAAACATTTAACACTAATAAAAATTTAGAAAAGCTTGAATAAAAATTTAAATTGTTAAATAATGCACAAAAGAGAAAAAAAAGAAAAAAGAAAAAAAGGATCACAACCCTCAATAAAATTTCCTTTTGCTGATAAAATAAAAAAGAACAGTGGTATGGATGTACATTTTCTTGTTATAAATTCTCTACCCACTGGATTGCTATTTAATACCTGTGGAACTATGAGTAAAATTTAGTTTATTTATCAAACATCATGAATGAATTGTATTTGATAAGTAGAGAAGAGCTGTGTACGTACTCAGCATCATCTTCCTCTTCAGCGAAGACGATCACTTCATGAAACAGGGCATTTGATTTCTCAGCAGCATACAGAAATCAAAACCCACATCAGGAAGAAAAATATTTATCAGAGACTGTCGCGAGAACTTGAGAGAAATCGTTAGGATCATTTGGGTAGCGAACCCAATGGTTCGAAAACAGAGACCCAGTACTTGTTGTGCGATGATGTGAGACGACCATGATCGACATGAGAGATGGGGAAGAAAAAGTTGGGAGAGCGACGTTGAATGCGATGGCTGTCGATAAGCGATCGGGAAGTTTGCTTCTGTTTGTAACATAACATGTTTTCTCGTTTTTGATGTGATTTGTTTGATTGTTTCGTTCTTCAGTTAATTGTTTTTGTTTTTGTTGGTGATTAATGAAAATTCTGGGTCAATGTTAGTGATTAAATTTAAAGGCAAATTAGAAGGTTTTTGTAATTTGAGATTTGTGTCATTTTAATTTTTGACCTTTCAATTATAACATATTTAATTTTAAATTTTGAATCTTGTTTTAAATATGAATAATTCAAGATACCATTTCTTTTTTCCAAACGTAAAATGCTCAATTTCAAGGGCAAGATTGTTAATTTGGTAAAATACAATATAGTTTGATAAAAATAAATATCAAAAAGTTATTTTTGAATTTTTCAAAATTATTTTTATCCACCAAACATAAAATTATACAAAATTGATAAATCTTTTAGAACATCTCCAATTGTCACTTGCTATTTTGGTAAATCTCAACTAACTTTCTCTAAAAAATTAAAGCTCTTCACATGTAGAAATAAACACGTAAATTCGGATCTGGAATTCTACGTGATTGTGTGATTGATTAACGGTATTTTGTAATTTTTTTTTTTTTTAAAAGTATACAGTTTTTGTTATTAGGTGAGCATATTGTCAATATTTTATTATGAGAAGATTGAATAATTGTGAGGCATGTTTTTATCGCATCTCTTTCCTTTCTGCTTTTTGTGATTCGATCATCTCTTAACATAAATAAACATTTAACACTAATAAAAATTTAGAAAAGCTTGAATAAAAATTTAAATTGTTAAATAATGCACAAAAGAGAAAAAAAAGAAAAAAGAAAAAAAGGATCACAACCCTCAATAAAATTTCCTTTTGCTGATAAAATAAAAAAGAACAGTGGTATGGATGTACATTTTCTTGTTATAAATTCTCTACCCACTGGATTGCTATTTAATACCTGTGGAACTATGAGTAAAATTTAGTTTATTTATCAAACATCATGAATGAATTGTATTTGATAAGTAGAGAAGAGCTGTGTACGTACTCAGCATCATCTTCCTCTTCAGCGAAGACGATCACTTCATGAAACAGGGCATTTGATTTCTCAGCAGCATACAGAAATCAAAACCCACATCAGGAAGAAAAATATTTATCAGAGACTGTCGCGAGAACTTGAGAGAAATCGTTAGGATCATTTGGGTAGCGAACCCAATGGTTCGAAAACAGAGACCCAGTACTTGTTGTGCGATGATGTGAGACGACCATGATCGACATGAGAGATGGGGAAGAAAAAGTTGGGAGAGCGACGTTGAATGCGATGGCTGTCGATATGCGATCGGGAAGTTTGCTTCTGTTTGTAACATAACATGTTTTCTCGTTTTTGATGTGATTTGTTTGATTGTTTCGTTCTTCAGTTAATTGTTTTTGTTTTTGTTGGTGATTAATGAAAATTCTGGGTCAATGTTAGTGATTAAATTTAAAGGCAAATTACAAGGTTTTTGTAATTTGAGATTTGTGTCATTTTAATTTTTGACCTTTCAATTATAACATATTTAATTTTAAATTTTGAATCTTGTTTTAAATATGAATTGTGTGGGTGAAAATCTGACCACACTGCCCGTTTAGTGATCAGCTGGAGAGCACAAGCAGAATAGATGGCTAAAGTAACCTGAAACAGAAAGAAAAAGCTCCGGCGGTGGTTCTTCCACCCGGGGGCACTCCGACGATCAAGTCAGTATATCTCTCAAAGATAATCAAGTACTAAATTGAATACTCAAAGTATAAGTTACATACCTTAGACCCATTTTTTTTTTTTGGTTTATTTTTTGTCTTTTGTGACCTTTTTTTTTAACTATTGTACAAAAAATATATATATTTATATTATTCCCGACTAAACAAATATAAAAAATAATAAAATAATAAAAAAATGAAAAAAAAATAAATATAATTCACCCATCCAAAAAATATATCACTATAAAAAAAATAAAAAACAATTTTTTTTTTTTTGAAACTACATATAAAAAATAAACAACCACCAACTACCTACCAACAATCATCCATCATTCATTCAACATTTATTCACCAACAACCACCCACTAACAACATGTGCGAACCATTTGATGAAAATTTCATTTTTTCGCATTGTGTAATACGTTTTATCTGAGGGTTCAAATGAGAAATGTCCGTAGTCATTATCAAATGTTCTTCTTTTTTGATCTCAGATTCTTTCATTTCCTATAGTGCTTGAGTCATTTTTTCTTCTCTTTCAGCTTTTTTCTTTTCTTTCTTAGCAAGATGTTGGTTAAATCTCTCCAATTGTATGCTCATTTTTTGGACTTTAACTTCAACGACTAGATTTTTCCAAAACAATTCTTTTGTAGCTTTCCTACCCATAGACCTTTTACCCCTTGCAAAGACACTACCCTCACCGATTGGATTATTACCAACAGTTGAATTGTTACCAACACTTGAACTGTTATTGTCTCCAAGAGAAATGTAGTTATCTATCGGGGAATTAAGAGTTGAATTAGGGGAAAATGGTGTATGTATCATTGATTTCACCATGTTCGTAGTGGCCATATCTTGCCACCTGATATTTTTTTGCAAGATTGGCCAACATTGTTCAAAAGTAAAATGTTTGATTTCATCTTGATGGTATAACAGTTTTGCTTGAGGCATATGTATCAATAAAATATTAAATTAATTAATCAATTAATTTTTATACTATACCAAAATAAAATACTAGCTTAATAAATGAAGAAAAAAATCATACCATATCAACTTGAGACATCCCACTTGAGTGAAGATTTTCAACTTGTGCTAAACACCCCCGAAATTTGTTGGAACATTTCATAATTATATCCCATCGAGATTGGATAGACACTTGTGTTCTTGACTGATCATTCTGAAGCAAGCAATAATTTTCATAAATTCTCCCCAAAAGTGAGCATACGATTGCCAATTGCCAATAATTGGGTCTTTAGAAATATAACACCAAGATTTACAAATTGCCACAACTTCATTAACGGTGAATGATTTTCTATTCTTTATTTTTGATGAAGCTTCCATATTGATTGCATGAAAAACTAAAAACAAAACAATTTTGGAGGTTTGCTGTGAAATGAAATTAAGATAAAGAAAGAAGAAAAGAAAAATGATATTTGAATTGTTTGTTGTGAAATGAAATTAAGCCTTCATTTGGCATGCCAGGCTTTATGGCTTTTTTGCTAGTTTTGCCTCAAAAAGACAAAATAGGCTTAATTAGTCCAATAAGATAAAACATCACATCACATCCAAACCATAATCATTTCATTTTTTCTTTCACAAAAGTCAAAAAAACCAAAAAACCTATCCCAAATGAGACTTTTTAACTCCAAACTAAAATAGTCAAAAAGCCAACTCACATCCCAAACGAACCCTCAGAGGGTTTCTATTTATAGGAATGCAAAATATTTCATTTTGAAGATAATAGCAGTTGAAGATGATCGCTTGAAAATAGTTTTTGTTTGTACTTATTTATTTTATTTTTTTGAGGCAAATAGAACACAACGGCTCATTTCATTTCCAAAAATGATCACCACCATCCATGTACAAACCAACGGTTGAGATGATTTCTCTAGAATCATCCAATCCATTATCTTCACATTTATTCATTGTCTTCACTCTCTCTCTCTCACTCTCCTCTTCCCTTTTCCTCCTCCATCATCAAAACGTCTCTCTCTCTATGTGTCTCTCTCTTCATACTCATTCTTACTCTCTCACTCTCATTTTTCCTTTTTCTCCTCTATCATCTCAATCTCTCTCTCTCACTCTCTCTCTCTCTTTCTCTCTGAGTCTTTAAGCTCAAGAGCAGTATAATATCCGATCTATCTACTCTCCGATTTGTCTCCGATCTTTGTCGTCAAACCTCTCCGATTTTCCTCTCTCTCTCTCTCTCTCTGTTGTCAAACCTCTCTGAACTGTCTCCGATCTATCTCTCTCTGTCTCATCAAACCTCTCTGATCTCTCTCTCTCTCTCTTCAAACTAGTATACTCTTCGATTTATCTCTCTCTTCTCAAATCGATCACCGAGCT